AGTAGAAGCGTCGTAGCTGAAATGTCATTTTGACTATGATCTATTTATGCACTTATCAATTGAATTTTAACCCCCACCCCGGGCCTATGTGGGGCTATGTGGGGGATTTGTATGGTATTTGAAGTCATGGTTAGCCCCTGGGGGTGGGGGATTTCTCAGGATTTGCTTAGCGTATTCATATGGCAGTCGGGGAACGAGGTGGGGATTTGACTCGTGCCTAGTTTGCTCACGGTAATTTCTTCACGTGATCACCGGTATTTTGATGTATCTGGCTTTGAATTTAAGTTTCCTAATAGGTGGTTTTCACGTTACGCCATCGTCGCCATGCTGGTAGACGGAGTAAACAAAAGATCGCTCATTAGCTGGAATTGTTTGTCCACCAGCATTTGTTCATTTCACCATGGTTATTTGTGTCTCCCGAGATTGCATGAAACCACCTATATTGTTTTTCCTTTCATTTCTTTACTGCAATTTTGCCTTGAGCTTTCATGGTTCGTTGACTGGAAATTGTTATTGTTATTCAAAACTTCTCAAACAATGCAGATACACGCTCCTCTACTTATTATAAAAGGTGCTGTGTCACGGCTATCTGGTTCATTTTGTTAATATTGCCAGTTTCGTGGTCCCTATTCGCTTTTGAGCGAACAAAAACAATGAACTTTGAAAAACTGTTAGGTTAACAAGTTTTCAAAAACCACAATTTCAATCCGTTTTAATCCTCTTCATGTTTTCCCATCTGTACCTTCTTTTGTATTTGCTGAGTCATTTATACCATCTTTTAATGTCTTAAGCGGTTATTTTTATGTTTCACTCAATTTGGTGGCAGTTCCCACAGCCTACATTTTGGTAAATTTCGTGACACAGCTAGTTTAACCTCTAGTGTTAAACCCATGTGGTTTCTGAAGTTCTATATTTCCTCATTCTTTAAGTCAAAATATAAAATATAAAATATAAAAGAGGACTTGGTTGGGGAGTGGTTCTGTCCATCCTGTACTTTGGCTCCCTGATGCATACCGGTATCCACGATATATCATATTTGTATCTTGGTCTGTTATCATATTTGCCTTTTTGCTCTAGTAAATTTGTCAATAAAGAAGTTGAAATTTCGAACGAAATGTTAATAAAGTCAGTCAGGGAATTAAAAAGGTCTCCCCACCTGCATGGGGGTTTTACCAGTCAATATGCCCCAGTAGGGTGGGAGTTTGCTAAGATTTGTAATGATGTCAAGTCAAATCCCCACCTTGGCCCGGGGTGGGGGGTCGGGGTTAATCAATTGATAAGTGCATTACTGCTGTAACTATTTATTTCACGCTGGGTCTGGCCCAGGTTTATAATATTTCAGATCATTGTGTTGTGGCGATACTAGAATTATTAACGAGCGATTGTTAGAGATTTCTGAATCAGTCAAGGATGTGCCTGTATAATTGATTCACCACCTTTTGTCAGCGCTGGTTAAATTGAAATAAATAAGTCTGAGCGCGATGTCATTAAGCTATGTTGCTTTCCTTTCGCTGTAGCGATTATTTTGTCCAGGTTTTGTTTATGTCACGTACTACCGTATTTTATAAAGCGAAACCAAAGGCCCACATCACATACATAGCTTAAGAAGCAGTTGCTTCATAAAGAAGTCAGCATTCAACGTCGCAGGAAACCTTGTTATGGTCGTGAAATTCACGTTCCAAAGCGTATTTGGTAATTCTCTCCAAAATCCAAGACACTTCAGCGCGCGAGGTCGCGAGGAGTCACTCGAGCTGTATTCTATCCTTTGATCTGATTGGCCTACATCAAAACAAGAGGTTTTACGTCACGGAAATCGTTTTGCCGCTCGGGTTCGCAGACGCTATTTTTCGGAGGGAGAGAAGCGACGACCGGAAATGCGTCTGCGGTTCGCAGGCTAGAAGACACCACCATCATTGACCCATAGAATGAATGTAAGCGGGTCTCAATGGGGTTAACCGATAGGCGTAAAACGGCCCAAAATTTAGTCGATAACCGTAAAAATTGAAAAATTGTAACCGTTAGCCGTAAATAGGATAAAAAGAGTTAACCGTAAAAAAAATTTTGCTCCTTAGATTCGATAATTTGAGGAACGTGCTAAACTCATTTAGAACCGTTGTCTCTCTTATTTCGCGGCTACTTCGACTCTTTACGTTCCCGTTTCTGCTAGTTTTGCTTTTCACGAAGATTTTATTCAAATAAACTCTTATGTCTTTTATTAGGAAGGGTCCTTTTCATGGCTCACAAAAAATTTAATTGACTGGCAATAGCTTAACCTTTTGTTTCTATTTTAAACAAAGAGTTCATGTCATTTTAAGAGAATGAGAAAACTGCGGCAAAGATCTTCAAAGCCGCGTACTTCTCAGCTTGGCTCCGACACTTGTAAATGTGAGAGTCACAGAAATGTTCGAGGCTCAATCTGTATGCTTGTTTTTGTTTTTGGTTTTTTTTTTTGAGTTTATGTTGTACAATCTGTTCTTCAGTGGGGTAAAGACCCTATCGTGGTGGTAAAAAGAGAAGAGGGTAGCAAATACAAAGCGACGCTAAGAACGAATCAGTCAAGAGCCCCTGAAGAAAAGGAAATCACGCCAACATGCAAAAGATGACATACTTTTTCATTGTCAGCATTGCTAACATTTCTATGCGTAAAATGATATTAGAAGTGGAGTACTCTAACAGCATGATTTATGAAATATTAAAAATTTTCAGAAGAATAACTTATTTCATCCCGAGATGATCTTAAGACATTTATTTTGCTTTAAAGGTACAAAAGAAATACAGGTTTATTAATATTTAACTCTTTGAAACCAAGAAATTAATCTTTAACTTTATAGTTAACCGTAACTGAAAAAAATTAACCGATAGCCGTAAAAGAGCCAAAATTTTAGCCGATAACCGTAAATGCCACCACCCCATTGAGACCCTCATATAAGATGTTCAACTTCCTGTCGGTTCTAAGATTTGAGTGAAAGAAGAGACCAAGCTTTTGGACTACTTGTTCCTTCAACAGCAGTTTCAATACAATTGTCTTTTGATTTTACATCTTCCAATAAAGGAAATAGCATGATCGAACACCTGTACACGAACACGTCGCGAGCAGAGACAAACAAAAAAAAAACAAGACGCTTCGGCGTCGTGGTTGTGGAACTGATTAATGGGATTTGTCAGGACACTCTGAAAAGAGCAACATCCAAGAGGCCCTACTTGCCAAAAACCAGCATTTCGGGACAAATTGTCTCTGAGATATAAGCCCAGTTATGCTCTGATGACTCCATACAAATCCTTCTAAATTTGACTTGGGTCTAAACGGTTAGACCTAAGTCAAATATGAGGTTATTGGCGGTGAATAACAAGTCTAACAAAACAAACAGTGAAAAAAGAATTCTCTATTTTTCTTAGTCACATCAGGCTTCAAAAACAGCATAGCAGTCTCATGTCCTGATTAAAGATATGTAAGGCACGGGAAAGGAGTCAATTACGTTGAGCATGGAATTGGCTGTTACGAGTTCGAATGTTTTGAGGATAATTATTCACTGACTATCAGCACGCAGGAATGTCGGATTAACACAAGGAAGTTTAATACCAAAGGAACATAGCCTTTTCAGAGCTTTAAAACACAGCATCCGCCAACACAAACTTGACTTGAGCTTAAGTACAACTAAACAGCCCCTACCAATAATAACAAACTCTCACTTGAACTTCAGATATCTTACGGCCTCCGCCAACTTGTAAACACAGAACTTGAAAATCGACCCTCGTCACACTTGACTAAACACAGCAGTCCAGGTCGAGGGGAAAAAACTTAGTTCGTCAAAAGACCTCGCTTGGAACTTGTATACCGTTTGACATAAGGTTCTAGAAAATACTAAACGGGCGAGTAGTGGTAGCTTTTCGACATATTTTATGATTTCAGTAACTGATGCAAATCTGCTGACTCGTGCTGAAATGCAAGCATGTCCTAATTAATTATTCATGAATAATCCAAAAAAGTAGAGAACGTTCGAGAAAGTCACGCAACGCATGAAAGCAATTTTACTACGTAACACTCAACAAAGACAAAATGTCTTTGTGCAGCATTTTGTAGCTTTAAATTCATCATAAAGCAGTTCGAAAGGAGGGCTCACACATGAAATGTTTTTCAACGCTCGAAGAGAAATTTCGTGTCTCTGCGCGGCCACGTAATATCCTCTATTTATTCCTCGAGTAAATTAAAGACTAAACTCGAAGTGAGCTCAAGATATCACAAAGTAGTCCGGTTTCATTTCCTGAAATAGCCGAAACAAGCCGAAAAGTCGCGAACTTGCTCGCCCAATCTTGTCCCGAAACTAGTGCATAATTTCATAACTATTTTTCATACGCCGAACTACCTTGGGTCGCAGTAGCGCAATCGGCTAATCCGTCAACTTAGAGTCTCCTCTGACCTGACGGGTCACACAGGTGAGTCGGTTCAAACCCCGGGCAAGCCAAAATAATAATTCTTTCTTCCTCGAAAAAGTTAAAGAACAAGACGCTGTGTGAGCGTATATTTGGGCGTGGTCGTACTACGGGTATGATACTTTGAACATGCCTTATTGCAGCTAAAGAACTGTCATCATATCTTACCTGAGAAGACAAATCCCTTACTCCAACTTGTTTGCTGAACCACACAGCTTATACAGTATGCCCCAATCCACAACAAAAATAGTGTCATTTCACGACAATGTTTAAAAATATGCACATCTTCAATGCAGACATGCTTGGGGCCAAATTGCAACATAGGACATAAGTGGTTACAGCCCGGAGAGTAAGGTTTATCTCAGCTCCACTTATACTGACAGATGTGTTTTCACACCGATCACTTTGTACAGTGTATTCCGGTTACTATCAAGGGCAAATAAAGTTCCTTAAGTCCAGTATCCACAAGGATTAATAAGGGTGTAACACATTGCATAAACTGCTATAGGGTATATTGTAGCACTGTTTACAGGAACATTGGTAACTATTAACATTTGATAAACTACAATTTTCAACATTGCTTGAGAAAAGATGAGGTTCAAAGGTGGCAATATGTACACCTTTAAGTTCACAAATATCCTCATTCCTATGTAGAGTCTGAAAATATTGTACTAATTTATGCATGGATGGTATTTCCAACAATACACATGTCCCTTCACTTGACTGTTATGATACATATCTCTAGCATGAGAATCAAATACATTATATTCCCCCAGCCTCAGTGCCGTAGATACCAACCCCAATAATTACCACCGTTAAAATGAATGAGTTGTATTTCAGTGCCAAGAGTGTTTCAAATGCTGTAACCTGTGAGTGGCATATACAGTAGTGATGGGTGTTACAAGTATAACTGTCACTGTATTCAAGGTGGAAAAATTGCTCAAACACTGTAACCATTCCTGGCAATTCTGTTAACATTAACATAGATTGTCTTGCAAGCAGTGACAGACTAGACCATAACTGAATACCAACAATCATTATTTGAGTCATCTCATCAACTGAAGTAACCTTTGTTATCTTACTGTAAATTAAAGCGCACAGACTCATTGCGACACATCTTTGTCCACCATTCTCCCCAAATCCTGTAACATTTCCTTGACAGTGTGGAGCATTAATTGTTTTTTGTAGCATCTACATAAACTGAAGGTCCTGGATTCTTCTCTATATCAGCACAAAGCTCAGTTAAATTGGCCAAAATTAAACCGGTGATTCAAACTGTTTTAAGCACTATAAAATGGATAATTACATGTACAGAGAGACAAATTCTTACTTAGAAGCCTATTTGGATATCTCATTCCACCTAAATCGCCTGTGCTCTGATGCTTAGACGACAGATACACCTTCCCTCGTTTACGAACTAGTTTTGGAGTTGCCCCTGAAGTAAAAACCTCACATGCAAACCTTTTCTATTTTTAACGTAACAATGAATTTCAGACGACAATGGTGATTTTTCCGAATACTCTTCCGTACAAAAGGTGTCACTTTCCACTGTCTGCTAGTCTGCATGACGGTAACCGGTCATTTCGTTCCATGGTCAGATCGTTGACATCGTTCCAAGTCAGATCGTTCCAATCAATAGTCAGATCGTTCCATAAAATAGTCAGTTCGTTCCACGTATGAAAAGTCACGTAAATCTTTCTAAATTTGTTGAGTGAACTTTATCGAGAAGAAAAACGTTTCGTTCATACGACAAGCTGATAAAATAATAATCGATCCATCCTAAATCGTTTGAAAACAAACATTGTTTGACGATTTCAACCGGCCACGGGCTTTAACATTTAAACTGCTGCTTTGAGAGTTTTTGAGCTAGAATCGATCGATAGTTTTGAAAGATATAGCACAACAAGTAAAACCTATGCCGCTCTCAAGGTACAGTATTTCGAAGCGCTTGTAACCTAAATATTTCTTTGTAGCGGCCGATTTGTGCAAATTTTGAAAACAACGCGAGTTTCGAATTACAATCTCGATTTTATGGTAATTTGTAATGCCGAAAATATAATTGACCAACCTGATTTAAACCAATGAAATTGTAAGTTCTGTTATAAATAAATTCCCACGACGAGATTTCAATTCAACATCTTTTATTTCCTCCACAACACAATTTCCCTTCAGTACAACTAGCTCATTACCTTCTCCTGTCGTCACCTGGCTGCCATCAAAACACTTTAACACAAAACTTGCTGATAATGCAAAATCCCGACTCATAGCATCGTACATGTACCGCGTCACAACATACACAATTAGATGAAAAAGCACAACACACAGTACAAAAACAAGTACATCAACCGTCACCCTGCTAAACAAAATTGAAATAATAAAAAGAATTGTTGCAGTTATGACAGTAGTTCCAAAAGAAGCCTCAGTCCCTTTTGGTTTCAATTGTTGACAATCGTCTCTTCCTTCATCGGAACAGATTTTTATCACAGGCAACTCGCTGTGTTCCTCAATGCAAAAATCAAAATCACTATTGTCACACTGATAACCAGCTACACAAATCTTGCGACTCTCAAACTTGTTTAACATTCCTCTGTTCAAACTCTTATCCATTTTACACGTACACTCCTGATATTCCGATTTGTTATTACGTCTATGGGGTCCATGAGTCTTTGATGTCATTGAATGTCTTGATAATTTCCTTTGTTTTTCCTTGAGTTCGCGGACCAGCCCATTCCGAAAACACTCAGCGTTATTTTTTAGTGTGGACCTACCGCGAACAGTGTGTGCATTTGAAAGTTTAACCCGGGATAACATGACTGAACAATATAATAACACGTTCCTCGAAACGCCGCGGCCAAATGTTATCCAAACTGCTTCTCACTGCTGCTTCGAAAAATTTCGGATCAAACGATATCCAAATCGTCCCTCATTGGATTATCCACTCGACCTAACAAAATCGACCAATCACAAAATAAGGAAAAGAAAATAGACATAAAATAAAGAAAACAGGACAGATGACCTCTTAGGAAACATGCAATTAAAACTGTCTTTCTATGATTGGTGCAAAAAAAATGTCAGACGTCAATCATCTTAGCGGACCTCTTAGGAAACGACAGTTTTCTTCAACGGGTCCAAAAGGTCATTGTTTATGATTTGTGATTGGTGGATTTCGATCCGTTTTTTGAGTTTCTGTGTTTCAAGGTTCGTTGCTTGTGATCTTATTGTGACCAAAACCCGTCGTTAATATTCCAAATATTTTTGATAGATTTCATCCCTGGACTTCAGACTTCCAAATTTCGATGAGGCAAAAATACTGAAGATTCAGATTAACTTTTGAGATCGTAAAAGTGCGATTAAGTTCCGTGTGCTAGCAGAGCTTTCTTACCCACATGCCTCTTACCTTGTACAAGACGTTCGCATGCCAGACATTCGCCTCGCTTCGCTTGTTTACTTGCCTTGTTTACATTAGCACGTATTGCGTGCCTATTGCACATTTGCGTCAAAACAAGCCGTTTCCATTACTCTATTTGGGCCACGCCCAAATAATAAATCAAAGAAATCGAAGTGATCTCGAGATATCTCAAACTAATTCGGCTCTCACTTCGTCAAATAGACGAATAAAACCGAAAACCTACAGACTTTGCATGCCCAATCTTGTCAAAAAATTGTAACTTTGATACATTCCTGAGCGTCGCGAATCCTTTACTTCGCGCTCCGCCGAAGTAATAAAATTAAAATAAAATGTAATGATCCACTCAGCTGGCCATGGTACCATATGGGAGACTATTTCACCCCTGATGAGCTGAAGCGTATCAAGGAGAGAGGGTTACCCTTGTGCTAACTGGATTACTCTAGCGATCAGGTTAAAGATAGCCCGGTTTTACAAGCAAGATTTCACCGGTAGGGTTACCTTATCACCCGGGTCAACTTTACCAGTTTTACTAATTGTTTCGTCATGCATGAGCACAGAATTAGGGCCTCCACAGACTACACATTTAGTTGTGGACAACGATTTTTTTTTCTCCACCATTAAAAGTTGGAACTAAACGTTCTTAAAACGGCAAATAGTTGTCGATAACAAAGTTATTTCTAGTATGTGGGGATATATATAGTTTACTTTTCGAAAACTATCCTATTTGATCGTATGTTCTTTGTCAGTAGTCAGTGGTCTTTTCTACAAACATAAATGGTTGGAGGCAGGTGGCGAATAAATTACACCAAAGAGAATATTTGTCCTGGAATACCAACACAGCATTGGAAGTTCATGCTGGTAATAATCTTGCCGTTAGCTTGCCGTTATTGCCACATCTTGTTGAGAACAGCAAGTTTTAACAGAAAAACTCACTTTATCAATTATTGGTTCCCCTTTCCCTTCATCCTTTTTTCACCCTCGTACCCAGCGTCTTCGTTCCCCTTGACCAGCGGTCTCGTCAAGCCAGCATGCGCATTAAGGGACGAAGACTCGAGGTACGAGATTGTCCTTTTTTTTGGTTTATTGATTGATTGATTGGTTTATTTATAAATTTGTTATCATATTTTCCCCTTTGGCTTGTTTCCGTTTCCTTGTTTCTAGTATGTAGGTAATGTCTTCCCTTTCCGTGTTTAAAAATCGACCTTCTCGACTGCCAGTGTTTTCCTTGGACACCGCCATTTTGAAACGTTCATTACAAGCATGCGCAATGAATCTTAGGGCGCGATCCTTTCATCCAAAATTCCAACCGGTCCGACCGGGAAAAGTGGTCCACCTCAAAAGGTGGACCCGTTTTTTCGAAACTTTTCCAGTTGGACCGAACCGATCCATTGAGTGTTGGACCGAAATTTCCGGAAATTTTGGTTGAATGGATCGCGCCCTTAGTTTCCAAGTACTTGGGGGACATTATTGGCAGATGATGAATTACACAACTTGATATTAAACTGAAGTAGAGAACCGATAATTGCGCCCGCAGGGATTTCGCCCAGAGGCGAAATCCCGAGGAAGTACCCTAGTAACTCGCGCGTACATTAAGGATAGTACTTACAGTACAAATATACAGTCAGTATACTAGAACAGGGGCCGCGAGGAATCGGTAGGTAATGATGACGTTTCTATTGCTTGCGCCCGCAAGTACGAAATGGTTAGGATGACGTAAAGACAGAACATTCCGAAGGGACCGTTCAGGTAGATTTTGTGACATTTATTGTGCAGTCATACTTCGATACTCTTTTGCGTTACGCAGTGACATTCTGTGGAGCAATTGTTTTGAAAGTTATGGGCCAAATGACACTCGTTAAGCGCAGATGTGGTTATAAGGTGCGTTCAACTGTGTATATATAAACACTTGGAGGTTTGCCAGACACGAGTTCACAAATCTTTGATTTATATTGGAAACCTTGCTAGACACTCTTTCTCTCTCTTTGACCGGAATAAGACTCAGCCCTAAACAAGGAAGACGAGTGAACAACGGCTAGCTTATCACTAGGGACCTTAAGATACTCTGGACGCGGCCGAGGAGGACGTCAACCGGAAGTGAAATGTTCAATTCTTGGAACTAATTAGCATAATGCCACAGCGTCGACCTGAAGTGGCGACGGTGAAAACTAGAAGTTTGGCGGCCTCGTAAAACGGGGAGTTGGTTTTCTTGTTTTCAGTGCAGAAATTGCTTTTCGTACAGGATTTTCGATCCGTTTTACTTAATGAGACACATTTAAGTGTTTTTAGTGAGGTGTTCTCGCAAGATTGCCTCTTATTTTTTTGCTATCAAGCCTGTTGGGTTCAGTGTTTTGGCGGCAACTGAGAATGAAAGTGCTGAGTCTTTCGACACAAATGTAACACTATAACTGCTTGTTTTTAAGGGGACAACGTTCTCGCTTTAGGATAGTATTGGAAAACTTTAAGAGACAAGAAGTCGAATAAAAATTGTTGAAAAACAAAAAATCTACGCTTGTAATAAACTTGAACATGTTGGAGAAAATTGAGATCTTGAACAAGACGCCATGGTTCATTTATTAACTTTTATAATTTTATTTTGTTCACTTTCAGTTCAGCGATGAAGCGGTATCATGTCGTTTTAAAGCAAGATCTAGAACAACGGAAAGCGAAAAAGTCTGGTAACAAATAGCTGATAAACTGAACTCCGATCATACCCTCAAGTTTCCCTCGAAGAAATTCGGTTTTTTTTAGAGAAACTGGAGTAATAGCCGGCAGCACCAATTTTTCTTCCAATAAAAGATCGTTAAGGTATCAATCAAGCAAGACTTCACGACTTATGGAATTAAAACACGAAAGCATTACAGTTGACTCCCGATAACTCGAACCCTCGCTAACTCGAACCAGGGTATCTTAAGGTCCCTACTAGCAGATGATGGACAATTACATGAATTCGCCGACAATCAAATTCTGTGACTTTTTTCCTGCTCACAGATGTCCTTGCGTTATAAAGTTTCAAATAAGACTAGAATGCGCCAGCGTGAATCGATCAAACGTCCTTTTAATTTCTAAGGCTTACTTTCCGGCAAATAAAATGAACTGAATGTAAAAAGTGAAAGAGAAATAGCGAAAAATTCAACTTCTAATTAAATCTTTTCGTATGGTTTAGAATAAACTATTCTCGAAACTGAGAATGTTTTGATCAAAGCTGTGTAAATCGAGCTGAAACTGTGCATGGAACCTTGCGTTTCCTGTATTTATCTCACCTATTGTATGGAATATGTGTGAAAATCTTCATTATGAATCGGTATATTTCAAAGAGCTACACAACCAGCAAGAATGCTATTGACCGACAATATACAGAACGGGGGCAGCTGTAGTGTCAACTATTACTAGTATTATTTTAAAAATGATGTCAGTGCTATCATCTGAGTTGTGATGCCATTTTCTTACCAAGTCACGAAATTTTAATACAGGTCACAGAGGTGGAACTATCTTCAATACAGATATTTGTTCGTGGTGGAAAAACTGAACAAAACAGAAAACGAACGTGAGAAAAAAATAATTTGTTCCTTCGCTATTGCTCGCAGTAAATGAATGCCACGGGATAATGGCTAACGTTCGCTAGACAATCCCTCTGACGGTCCAGTATAATGTCCGCCATCTTGTTTTATCTTTCTGGTAGTACCCAGACCCTTGCATCACAGCTAGATCGCACGACCCCGCTCGTTTCAACGCCCTAGCTTCTTACGCCCTGACCTCAGCTTTGATTATTCTCTTCACGGCACGCTCAGCCTCATTCAATGTCACAAATTTGGTTGGACCTGAGGAGAGTGGAAGACGTCCGAGCCTATCGCCTTGCCATTCACGTTCCCAAAAAACTTAACATTTGGCTGTTTCATGCCGACGTTATGTATAGCCTGCGCACCTAGAGATATTTAAGTTTGTCGCGTCTCTTTGCCCGAACGGACTCAGCGAGGACGAGGTTATCAAGCGGAAACGCTTGCCACGTAGGTTACACATGCTTCCCTGTTCTCTCCACCACTATAGATATAGAAGTAGTTCGGAATTCATTCTTCGCGTTCGTAAATTGAAATAAGCAGAACCATTTCAGTTACTTATATTCATAAAAATTCCATGAACGTGGCAATAAAGGAATTATAAAAGTCAGACAAAGACGTTGTTTGAACAAAATGCCACTGGATCATGCTTGCATGACTGATCAAGAGTTTTCTTGCGGTTTCAAGCAGCATCCGATTGGTGAATACGCAGTTGGCCTGTCAAAATCAAATCAAAGTCTTCACGGTTTTTCGACTTGCAAAGATTTTTGCTCAGAATTTGCACAAATTAAAACCTGGGAGAAACCTCCCATAAAAGGGAAGTATTTGGTAACGTTGCGCGATCAATCAGTTTATTATCATGGAATGCAATCCTCTCTTCGTCCATTGATTGGAGACTGTTTGGGCCGTTCATTGACATACTGCATGTTGTAGATATTTTATAATTTAGATTTTTTATATTCTATTTTGTAATTAGGTAGCGCTTTGGACAATTATTGGATTTTAGCGCTATATAAATAAAATTATTATTATTATTATTATTATTATTTAAAGTGCAGTTCAGACTTTTAAGAGAGGCACAAAAGGTAACCCAATTTTTCGAATTCTTTGTTGAAATTATACTATTGTGGTACAAAATACTAATATAATTACACATACAACTCACTACGTCCATGACGAAGAGTGCAAAAGAATGAGATAAAAAAATAAAATAAAAAAATAAAAAACCTTTGAGAGGCAGTAAGCAACACCTGTGAACAGTGAATTTATCTTTTAGGAATTGAGAAGCACGTTACCAGAAGGCATACAGCAAGTAAATTCGGTGGCGTCAGAGTACGGAGTATAACTTGTACCCAACGAAGCTTATCTCGACGGAGACTGAAACACCAGAGCGTATTCTGTATACGAAAACTCAGATCTGATTAAATCAGATCAAAGTCCTTTGCTAGGTGAGTGTGCAGTTTTATTGCTGTTTCTCTGTTATGACATTTAAGACGCTGTGGGAGTATCTGGCTTGCTTGTTAGGCATTAATTTTCTAGTTGTTTCCTCGTCCTGCTGATATGAAAAGCACTCGAGTGCGAAGAGAACTAATTATTATTGGCACTGCAAAGGAGCTGCCATCACGGCGAAACGCCGCGAATTATGAGATCGAACATTCCGCTTGGATTGAATCAAGTGAGATACAATGGACTACCAAAGTCCCTACAACGGGCGAAACCTTGGTTACTAGAAGCACGCGCTTAGTTGAACCAAATTTTTTTTCCCTGTATTTGTTCTTTATTATGCTACCTTTTTACCTTCGATACCTAGTTTGAACGTTCCGCTAACTTGAAGTTATTTTATTTTTCTTAATTTATAATCTTCGATAACTCAAGCTCCTTCAAGAATTGAAGTGTAATATGTTTATTATCAAACACAACCGGCCCAAGCTAAATTGAGCAATACAATTTTATGTGAGTTGTTGTGTTAAAACCGTCGGTTTTAATCACAAAATTACACGAAATAACTAAATGGTTTTAAGAAATAATTTAACTTAGTTCTGTCGATGTTAAGGCACAGACACAGAATCTTTTAGATGTATAGGACGCATCTCGACCCGAATATGGTTTTTTGAATCCGATGTTGGACGCCCAGAAACATAAATTCATCCAAATTGACCCCGTAGGTGGATAAAGAATAGAATAATGTTTTGTGCGATATTACAGACATCACAGTCATGATCGCGCTCGTTTGGCTAATTTTGAGCTGCACTCGGTTATTGCCCAAAGCACCTAACAGCCGTATTCGACCCCCACTTTTATAATTTTTTATCGACTCTCTCTTGTCTTATACCAGGTGGCTCGTACCATCCTTTTTTGGCAGTTTAAACACACACAGACAAATATTTTATATTAGGATATTTTAATGACCCATTGACGGCTATGCCAGCCAAAACCAGCCGTGCAACAACACACTGCTTTAAACATTGCAACTTTCTCAATCGTGTGACCATTGATTTCACTGTCACTTGTGAGCATTGAGTAGAAAGTCCTTCAAATTGGAATATCCAATAAACGCAAAAAAGCCATGAAGCGCTTTTTGACATTTGTGGTCAGTTATTCAGACAGTTATTCAGTACATTATTGGCTTCCCCGCGACCAACTTTCTTGGAATATATTCAGTGCTATTTTACTGATCCATTTGATGGACTTTGTTTGAGTGCTCCGATTACACTAGTCACGCTGTAAATCGTACGGCATTTTTCTTTCCTCTTGATCTTTCAAAAGAGTTCAACATTGTGCACTTAATGTCAGGTCCGTGGGAAACAGGTAGTCTTGTTTTCCCGAGAGTCCTGATGCATCAGGACTCAAAAGTGAAAACTGGCAGTGTTTTTCCCGCCTTCTGTCACGCCACCTTCATACAGTCATCACTCTTAAAATCATCGATATGAATACTACAAAAACAAAAACAATAACTTGACCAAATTGCCCTGTGTTTGGATTTTGCATGTCATGTTTCACAGTAGTAAGTCCATAAATATGCGTAATAACACCCGGGTAATAACAAACAGCCCATTCGTTTTTTATTTATTTATTTCTATCAGTCGCCCTAAGAAACAAAGAAAGAACAGCTGGCTTTAGGAATTGAATCTTTTGCTGTTTTTGCTCTCAAAGACACCCAAATTCACCGGAAATTTTATCATCTTTGACTAAATACCTTTCAAACACGCTCCAATAAAACACCTGCTAAACGCGAGCCGTTTCCTTCATCACATCCTTTTCTGTTTACATCGAATTTGACCGCCATGTGATAGTGTTTCCCAGGCTCTTTTTAGCCTTTTTTTGGAAGTTAAAAGCTTGGGCCATGGGTTTAACTCTTTATTTTTTGTGTTTTACTGTGTGATCCATCGATCTTGCTTTTAGAGCCGCTTGAAACAGCTTCTCAAAGCCGAAAAATCAGGGGCACCCAATAGTTCAAAACCACTTAAACAGCATTGTTAAAGGTATTTTTAGTTAGTATTTAAACGGTAGATATAGGCATATTTGTATTTCTCTAAAAATTTTTCATCTGTTCGGATTTCCTGGCTGAAAGTCTAGTGATCAGAAAATTATAGGGATCCAAACTTACCTTTTCGAAAATTTCAGCCAGAAAAAAGGCTCCCGAAAATTCTAGGTGACCTTTTTAGGGCAAAAATCCGTTTAAAATGGGCAATTATACCATTTTTTAGATGTTCGAAAATCCTAGGAGAGGCAGGCAAGCAAGAAATTTTACAACAAATGTTCCGAAAATTCTAGATCTCAAATCGTCTTCCGAACAGATATTTTCCGAAAATTGACGCTGGGTGCCCCTGGCAAATGTCAAAATTAACACCGGTTGAAAGAGGTTTATAAGCGAATTTTCAGGGAAAATATCAAAAATCGTGGCTAATATAAGTATCCCTGGATTTTTGAAAACCGGGTTAGCAAAAATGTCAACTCATTCTACTATATGTCAATTAAAAACAAGAAAACTCATTCAAAGGCCGATTAATTAACAATTAATGAATGAGGCTGAGTATCTTATGAAGATTTATGGATGGAGATTCGAGATCTCCCTAATTCTTCATATGATACGAAAGCAGAATTCAATAATTGTTTTACTATTCATTCAAAATAATTCTTAGTTTAAAAAAATAGCTAAAACATGCTTACCTCCATCGATGTTAAGTTCATCTTCGATAGTTCACGTTTTGGGTTGTTTAGCTCAGCAAATATTCTCCAAATAGCATATGTCGCCCTTCGAGTTGTCTTCTTGCCGTTCTTGCCATGTTTTAGCTATCATTTCGCCTAGTTCTTACTCTTGAAACGAGTGAAATGTCCGCTATTTTTGTTTCACAACCAAAACAACTCAACCTCGTCCCCAGGTCCTCTCGGTTAACGGTGCATTAACCTGCAAAAAAGCTGCACTTTTGACGTCATCGATTCATTAATCGCAAAATTCTTCCAAATTTGGTCATTAGTATCCGATTATGGTGAATTATGCGTGTGCTTTTAGCCAATCAGAATCGGGGAAATTTTTTGAATGAATAATAAATTAAAAGCGCCGGGCAGTTAGTTAATGGTCCCTAGGAGCATTCCAACGAGTCCAAATTTAAAATGCTCCCATCTTTAGAACATATATTCAGTAACCTGACTTTGTGAAGTTTCAAACAGGAGTCATTTCAGTCGAGAAATTTTTAAGTTGAGTGAAGTAACTGCGAAAGTCTGCCTGGTTAAGGCTTACATAAAAACTTAAATAGGTAGCAAAACACTACTTTTTTCGCCTTGCGATAAACGACAGAGTTTCGCATGGAATAGACAACAAACTGAATGAAAGATAGTACACGAACTATCACCTTCTTATCTGCAAAAACCGGCCTATGGTTCAATGCCATTAGAGCTCGCTGAAACTAGACCTACAATCATGGACAAAAGTCTTGGGACACTTTTGCGTTTCCGGGGCGTTTTCCAATTCACACAGGTCCAACCCCTCCCCTCACCCCAAAAACAATGCTGGATGCGTGTATCCCTAATTTTTTCCGAGTTTCAACTTTGTATAGGGTAGGGGGAGGGAGAACTGCAAGAAGATTTCGAAAAGGATGCCCTGTTTTAAGAGGGAACCGAGAACTAACAGAAAAATATGAATATTGCAGTACTATCCCAAGAACTTTTGTCCGGGATTGTAGATCTAATTTTCCGGAGTCAGAGTTGCTTTTCCAAGGTATAATCAGCTAAGCTAACGCCGACGAAACGTTTTTATGGCTGGCACAGAATATTTTAGCGAAACTACAGTTCAACCACGCGATCACATACCTGTCATCACCATGTGGAAATCACACAATCGCACACTTTCGCCGCACTGATAAGACTATCCACAACCATGGATAATCTTCTTACGTTTAATACAAGCGAAATACCATCGAATAACTCGGAAAAACTAAGCCTATCGGCAGATAAATACCTCTGGACTTTTCTCTTAGACTCGTCTTGTTCAAGTCCCCGGATGTAAAGTCGCACGGACGGCAGACCAGCATAGAGCCCGTTTTCACACCAGAAAAAAACTGAGTCTTGGCCCGGGTCAAAGTTAACCTGCAATTTTACTCTCACCTAATTCGTTTGACTCCTAAGAGCCTGTTCCCGAGGTCAAAGACTTAGTGGTCGCTTTAGAAAAGCGAACAACATCGTACCTTTCTGTCTCAGCCCTGATCAGGGTAATTGATCCGTTTAGCCACTTGACACGAGAATGTAATACAATATTGGACGATACAGACTCTGCGAATCGCAATTAACTTTGTCCCATCTCAGAGCTTTACATGATGCTCTCCGGGAAACGTCTCTCAAGGTGATCAATATCTTAAAGTAAACTGCTAAACTGCACCGAAACCAGCTTAAGGTTTATTGTTTATTGTTTTGTTTGCCATAACTTATACAAAGCAAAAAAAAATCTAATTATTCAAACTCTCATGGCGAGGAAGCCCAACAGAAGCCACCGGGCTTAGAAGGAATGGGCTCCCTCAGTTAGATAATTAGAACAAAATATTATCATAATTACACATGGGCGCGCACTGGTTTCAAATATCTGTCACTTGTATTAAAGAGAAAATTGTGTGTAGGGAAGAAAAAAAATTGGGAGGGAGGGAGGGGGGGTAAGATAGTAATTCTGCCTAAATCCACTTCTCCACAAATCCCTAACAACAAAACAAGCAAAAAAAAAACACATAAACAAACAACATAGTAGACAAGTTATCAGACAGGGGAAGTTGAGAAAAATTACAAAATGTTTGCTAACCCGGTTTTCATAACTCCAGTAGAAGTAATTTAATGTGCCCATTTCGGCAGCCAAATGTTTTTGTCAATGACACTCTTGCGTGGCATCCTTAAAAAGGATGTCACGCAAGACTGTCACTGTAAAAAACATTTGGCTGCCAAAATAGGCACATTAAATCACTTATATTAGCCACGATTTCTGATATTTTCCCAAAGAAAGAGAAACTGGCCAACCAATCACCGAGTGGAATATTCTAGATGGTTAGTGGACTCGACTTGACTTTCTAAAGTCAATAAATACCATAACCTATGGAAGGTCATAAATGCTAGAGAGTTTTTCTAGGTATTTTTGGCCTGCAAATGGGAGGGTACACGATTATTAAATTGACCATGAGCTGAGTTTACATTTA